ATTTCCATGCTCCATGGACACAGCACCCTGGTTTTTCCCTGCTATGGACCCACCTTCCTAATGTCACCCTTCTCCGTTTTCTCACCTTTTATGGCCTCATATATCAGTCATTCGTCACTGCAGAGGTGGGCTTCTCTCCCTTGTCCCTTTTTTCCCTACACCCTCGTATTTTAGAGCTGAAATCCTGCAATCATTCTCTCGTTTGTTGAACTCCTCTCAGCCCGACTTTCTCCTCTGCTCCACTGGTCTGTGACACATGCCCCTGGTGCTTTCCCTACCCTCCTTGCTGTTTCCCCTCACTTTTTTATACAGTGTGCAGCCAGCCGACACTCCCTCTCTCTCTGTGACGCTTTCATTCTCCCTCTGTGACCCCATCAGTTCCTCAGTGCCACAGCTAAGCCTGGTCACTCTTCATCAGCCAGCCTCCTCTGGACACACGGACCTCCCAAGGGTAAAGAGAAATGGGGTCTTTTTGGCAGTTTGTGTGCCCAGTCTAACACTTTCACCGCAGTTTAAGTTCATCTCTGATCCTCCTTACCCTAGAACGAGTGTCTCATTACCAGCTATGTTTCCCTCCTCTTGTCTCTACATTAAGTCTTCCAGATGGGATGCGCATTAGCCTTTGCACTGGCAAAGTACACAGCTTCCAGCTCTTCAATTTTAGGCACTTGCCCTTTTCAGCTCAATCAGCCTCTCTAGTCCAATCACGACTGGTGAGGGCTCAGTTGCACTGCTTGAGTGAGGATAATCACCTTGGTTACTGGCGTTACCGGAGGCCACTGTCTAGCCACGTTAGCGCTGCGCCCTGCGGCAACCATGGAGACAGGTGTCACAGCAGCAAGGGGGGGTGTTAAATAAGCACTATGCCAAAAACTGGGCATAAACGTTTACTCTTAGTCATGGAAACTGTGTTAATAACAGGAAAGAATGCTCACCTCATGGTGTCAGTGTTATAATGGTTCTTCAGACTCAGATTCACCTCTCATTGCACCATTATATACCATTTACTGGTTCCAACATAAGTATACCTTTTCAGAGAAAAACATAACAACTGCAATGTGCGTGCGAAGAAGCCACGCCTAGGCAATTGTTGTTTGCTGATTTCACAATCCCACAACAAAGACAAACATACAGCAAGAGGGGTCATACACTGAATAAAAGCTGCTGGCTCAGGGGACATCGGGTCACAGAAAGCTGCACCCCACTGGGACATCGTGCTTTTGTTCAAAGCCAATCAGATCAGATAAACTTAAGCACAATGGATTGATTGGCAGACTTCAGATGCCAGCAAATATAGGAGATGTCCTTGGAATACCACTCAGCATTTAAAAACTTCAGCAGTGAATTTGGTGAAATGCCAGTTGTTCTCAGAGCGTGACACGTAAGGACGACATAGATCACCATTATGATAATCACAAGCAGCACTGTCTGGGGAAAGGTAATGGGAAGGAGATGAGGTGACAGCCATAAAAAAGTGTTTCGACATTAGCGTCAGCCTGATTAGACTGACAGAAAGTTTTACTAATGGACAATTAAACAAATGGTCACATGAAATAAAAGGATTCAATTACCAATTGATGTCTTTGTGTGACCCTTTCAATCAATGAGCTTCATGTTTTAGGTTTGCGTGAACCCTAAACCATGTAGACAAAAGCACATACTGAAACACGCTGGCGCAAAGAGGATGTAAAAATAAGGATGTGTGAAATCATATGTTCATGGAGGAGGCTCAAAATAAATGGTCCTGTCTTATTTCCCTTTTCTGTTTAATTCAATGTAAAAAATAAAAGGTTCTCTTTGAGCCAGACAATAAGAAGACGTAATTGGGATGTGGGAAACAAGAGAAGTTCCGAACAAGGAGTTATGGATTGCAGTGAAGACTGGAGGGCAGATTAGCGAATAATTACCATAAAATACATCACCTGCACAAAACATGAAGCCTAAAGACTTTTGCCTCTGAGTAATAGACACATAAAACCCGAAGGAGAATTAAAAACAACCCAGAATCAGCTCCGTAACTCTTCCAGTTGTGGCTTTCACTCGGAGCAACGCAATTTTTCTATGGAGCTTATGCTGAGGCAGTTGTTCAGCTGAGATAGTGGGCCACCCTGTCAGGACCCTTTAAGACTGCATCATTTGATCAAACAGGGTTGTGCACAACAGCAGCAGGCAGAGAATCTTTTTTAAAAAAAAGGCTCATTCCTCCTTCTCTTCTGTCGACGTGCATGCCAGATCAGTCTGCCAAGTTTAGGTTGTCCAATTATTTAGACTTACAAAAGACAGTGAATCAGAAGGGAAGGAAAATAAACAACAACACGGCAAGACTGAAATCTGATTTTGCACCGTGCTCAAATTTACAGCGTGAACCAGCAGATGGCAGGGCAGAGAGCAAAGATGCAAGGGCTCACTCTTTTTAATTAAATTGCCGTAGAGTTTATTTCATTTTGGGGGTGACTTATCCTTCAAGGTTAGGATCAAAGGATAAAACCTTTACTTACAGTGAAGGCTTTTTCAGCACTTTAAACAACAAAGACAGACGCGGGAAAAAGAAGAGAAAAAAGCAAGCCCAGCGCAACATGCAAGAAAGTAAAACAGGCAACCTCAAATCAAGAATTCTGCAAACTGCGCCTGACAAGCATCAAAAACCCCAACTGGGTTCTGACAAATTCTTGCATAAGCAATGTTGTTCTGCTCAAAAGCAACGAACGCGTACATTTGTTCTGCATCCGCGTGTGCGCATAGCTGTCTGCGACTTTAATCGTATACGTACAGCCTTTAGCTTGATGTTTGTGTTTACATAGCAAGTCTCTATTCTGTGAGTCACAACGACATTGATTTATGCATGGATTCTGTGTGTGTGTGTGTGTGTGTGTGTGTGTGTGTGTGTGTGTATTTCAGAGCAGTAATTGGTATTCAGACCTCCTCCCACAAGTACGTCCAACTGCTGCTATTTTTCAACAACCTGAGCCAAAGCCAAGGTCCAAACAGGATGGTGGGGAACAAGCTCAGTTGGATGGCTCTCATTGTGTGACTTCAAAAAAAAAAAAAAAAACTAATCGAGGAGATTTAAAGCACACAGCGATAAGGCTGGTGGTAATGGGAGGCCTGGGAGAGGAATGAGGATGAGGTGTAAGAATGGAAGTGATGGAGGGTACTGATTAAGTGTGGGCAAGCAGCAGAGGTGGAGTTAAGAGAATTTGTTACTGGAAGTTTGGGCCAACAGCTGCTGTAGATCAGCCACCTCCACAAAAGCGTGCACACAAACTGAGCGCTGACTCTGTAGATGTGTGTGTGTCCCTCAGGCCTGCCTGTCAGACACACTGTGAAGTCTTTCTTTCTCTTTCACAGTTCCTCTCCTCCTTCTGTTTTGCTTTGGTATTCTGTCCTTTGGACTTTTCCTGCTTCATTGAATTACCAAGTCTTCTAGTCTAGCTGTTTTAGGATAACCCTCCTTATTTATTCGTCCACCCATGCAACTAATCAGTGTATAAATATTCTGGCCTAACAACAACTCCATGTTTTCTTTCCCCAATTTCTTAGTTTCAGAACGGCAAAGACCAATTACCAACAAGGGTTAGATTTTCTTAATGAGAAACAGTGAGCGTATCTGCATGTTTAGATGCTTCTCTCGCTTCTCTGCTTATGCACCTTGTGCCTTTAACATCCCTGAAACCCCCAGCCTCATGTTTCCCTCGGCTCCTGTCAGAGTCTAGATTAATGACAATGATCAGTGAGCAACCCCCAGCTGAGAGTGCCTGCAGCTTAGCCAAAACCCTGCACTGTAAGCAGCACGCACAGCAGCATCAAGCACATGTACCTGCAGCGCACTTGGATGTGCCCAAACACACAAACCTCTTACACAGTACTCCATTTAGACCAACATGCAAACACCTTACAGCTCATGCATATAAATCAGCCAGCCCCGTTCCCGGAGTGGACGCACAGATAGATAGGCGCACGCACAAAAATACTCTCTAGGGAGGAAATCAGTACACGGAGGTTATTATCAGTGCCAAGCAAGAAAATGGCAGTGGGGCAGCAAAGCGCTCTGTCAAAACAAAAGGCATCATCACAACAGCACGGTGGTGCAAGTCTGATTGTGACTGTGTTTGACCTGGCACTTAACCCTTTCACAGCCTCAGGACGGTGTAAACAGGACAACATCTGTGCTCATCCAGGGTCAAATGCTTGAAGAGGAATTTCGCAGGCTTTGTTACGAGTTCACATTTCAGATCACAAGCAGACGGCAAAGGCAGAAGTTGCTCTGAATCGTGACGAGCCAAATCCTTGTTCTGCATTTGGAAGGGTTAGTGAATGACCATGAACTGTATATGGCTGTGAGGAAGTGGACTTGTATAGGGAGAGGTGTTCCAGTGGGTGAGGATGTGTGGGGTGGGTGGAGTGAAAGTGACACGCAGGGCTTATTAAATGTTGTTGCATGTGATAAGGAGATGTCTCAAAGGTCCATTCTGTCCCGCTGCAGGCTATAAACAGCAACTACAAAACACTTCCCTGCTGCTGGTGTTTCAGATCCACTGCGCAAATGTGCGTGGTGCTTTCATGTGCCCGTCAGAGGCGCGTGGCTGCGCGCAGGAGACGCACTGTGTGTGTGTGTGTGTGTGACAGACTCGCGTCCTGTCATCCACAAATACCTCAGCAAGGCAGGTCCTGGGAAACACAGAGCCCAGAATCCAGCTGCTGTGACGCACCGGGGTCACCAGAGCCTGGGAAGAGCGACTCAGGGTGGAAAGTGACCACGAGTCCCGCTTTTACTTTTGTTTTTATCGAGGGGGGGATTTGGGGAATTTTGCACGAACGGCTTTGGCACTAATTGTGCTGATTTGTCATATTTTGAAACATTACGCACGTGCTTTTCAGACCCTGGTGCGCTCTTCCTCCTCCTTCCCGTGACCAGTAACTCAGAACAGTGGATTCAATCGGACAAACACACGTCTCTCCAACAACTTCTCACTCATTCACTGCTTCATTCCGAGTCTTACCCGTGTTCAGCACGCACGCGGCTGTGAGGATGATGGTCAGGGGGACGCGGTAGGTCCACACGGTCGCCAGAGCCATGGTTGATATTCCGCTGCTCCTGTCTTCTCTCGTATTCCTCTTCCTCGGAGAAATCAGTGTCATGAACCCGCAGGTTCACACTCCCGACGGAGCTTTCAGCGACTGTGCACCTATGTGTGCGTGAGAGCACGCGCGACAACGCGTGTGTGTGTCGCGGAGAGCGTCACAGCAGAACAGTGCTTCGTCTCACGCGCGCTCACTTTCTCTCCGTGCGTTTGCGCTCAGTTTGATAATAACGGCTCTGCCGGTTTTTCTTGGTTGTTGTTTTTTTTTTTTTTAACATTGTAAATATATTTCAAAGCTTGCCAACAGGGCGGGGCCTCGCGTGCCTTTCTGACCAATTACAGGCAGCACGAGCAGGTGGACGAGGGAAAGGGGCGGGGCTTTGTGAGGGGAGGGCGCGCGACATCCTTCAGTTAATTGGATTCAATTAGCTCAAAGTCTGATGGATAACACCCCCCCACCACCACCACCACCACCACCATCTCAAAAAGTAGTAATTAATTACTGCAGACGAGTGAGATGACAAAAATAGAAGTGACATGTTTTGTTTTTTTAAGTTGAGAGACAAAACTATTTCTATTATTGGAGGTGGAAGACAATTTGCCTGCATGTGTTCATACCAGATTTAAAAGAAACTCTCAGCAGTTATTCACTGGTTGTGCATCTATAAACGTTTAGGGACAATCATTCAAGTACTTTGTACAACCACAAATAAAAAATGGCTACGACTCAAATAAATGTACAGATACTGAGCTCAAGTTTGATGTGGTAGTAGCTGACGCTCATCACCAACACATATTTTAAGCTCTAACTGATGGAGAGACATCTATGTTTAAAACTTTCCATCAACTATTGAGGTCAACTTTGACTGTCTGTTAGCAAAATATCTCATAAAAGACTGAATGGATTTTAATTGGACTTTCATTAAACATCTACAGCTGGTTACATTTTGGAGTCAGCCCAATTTAAAGAGGTTGTCACAGTTAGGTGATTTTATGAAACACAAAACTTGTTATATTTCATTCACTTTTGTGGATATTGACATAAAATTTAATGGTAGCTGAGAGTCACCCCCAAAACATTCTGAGCACTACAAATTATATATTTACCTTAAACTTTATTCTTATCGATGGCATCAGCCCTCTTGTCTGTCAGCAAAATATCACACATACCAGTGGAACGATTCAAATTAAATTCTTAAAAAGTAATCATTTGATGTTCATCTACAACAGATTAACTTTTGAAGTCATCGTTATTCAAGATGATCAACCTTTGCCAACACAAAAAATGGCTATAACTTACTCAGAATAACATATAATGAGGTCAAATGTGGTAGTCGCTGAGAGTCATTCGCAGTGCATACTTAGAATGAAGAGCAGGATGTGGCGGTGGCAGCCATATTTAATGAAAGTTGGCGGGCAACATGCATTCATTCATGGAATACAGTGCATTTCTAGTCAACCAGGCAACACAAAGTGTTTCACAAAACTTTGTGCCTTCATTTACTGATCCACATTCACACAGCACTACTATAATAATTAAAATAAAACATTCTACTAATCTATTCTTGTTTGCAAGTGTAAATGAGACCAATGTTTTGACTGATTTGAGTTTATTTTTGTTACATTACAAAAACTGTAATGGACCGGAACAAAAGTCTGGGACAAGCCTGCAGTTCGATTTATTTATTTGTTTATCTGCAGTCAGAGCTTATTAGGTCCTGCTAAAGGGACTCCTTAAGTTTACCCTCATGCTATGCCTTATCCATAATTGTGTTTTCCAGTCAGAGAGCGTGGCTCCATTATGAAAATTGTTTCTCTTTCCACATCCCTTATCTTGGACTTGTGGCCTCTGAGGCTCGATTCAGCATTTTTTTCAACTGTGTCTTTGTCGCCCTCTTCAGGTGACAGTTTTAATTGCACGTCATGGATTTCAAATCTGCCTTTGAATCTCATGTCTTGAATCCTACAGGCACTTTTTTATTTTTTATTTTTTTTTACCCTTTTTGGTTCAAGCAGTCAAAAAAATTCCACCAAGCAGCAGAAGCATCAAAGCAATATGTTGGTATTAATATTAATATAGCTACCTTAGACTTTGATAAAGTTGCTCTGAACTCATATCTTACTTCTGATGGAGACAGCTTAAAATCTCTGATTTACACTCTCCCTCACTCAGTGATTTTATCTTTTGACACATGTTACAACCTACTTGTTTTGGCACGAATAATATCTGCCCCGATCGTTTCCTAATTCCCAACCCATGCCATTATTCCCTGTCAGGCTGCATGTGTGTTTGTTCCCAGGTTGGCAGGGAGTCGATGGCAGCAGCTTCCCAGCACCAGATGGGGCATAGTCAGGAAGTAATGAGGGGAAAACACCTGCTTCTCTGCCCAACTCCACTCCTTCATTTTCAGCCGTTTGACACAACATATGCAGGACGCGCATGCAAAACCAAGTGACCGTGACGAGAACAGCCGCAGGCAGAGACACGCCGAAACAAATGCCTGACGTTGCAATGCATCAGTCAGTGAAGTGTCATGTTTGGTATAATTCACTCTTACGCAAAGGCTTGTGCTGTGAGTCTGACTAACGCTACAGAACAACGTCTCTATGTCCTGCCTGCGCCGAGCACTACATCTGGAGCTGTTTCGTATTCTTTGCACAAGCAGAAGACTCAGGTTTACCTGTGGTTTACCAGAGAGGCGCCACCGAGGTCAAAATGTTACTGTAAGCAGCTCTTCTCGCTTCTGAACCTGAGCCTCGAACCTCAGGGTCATCTCCTCTGAGCAAAAGTTCTGAAAAATGACATCGTTGTTTGTTGTCGTCCAGGTGAAGTCTCAGAAACAGAGACGAGTCAGGAGCTCTCCGAGTTTCACTCATGACTCACGTAAAGGCCAAAAAGAAGAGTACCAGTTCATATTTGAATTCACATTACAGCTCCATTTTTGTTTTGTTTTTCTGTGGAGTTTGACTTAGATTAAAACCCATTTTCTCAAAAGTACACACTAAAGTACAGCTGGATTAAAAACAACCCAAATTGTAATTTGTAAATTTGTATCAAGACAATCCTGACTAGTTTTAACTCAGCAAGGTTTGGTTATAAGTTGTCGCAACAAGTTCAAATGACTATTTAATTGAATTAGATCTACTAAAAAGTTAAGTTTTAAAAAAAAAAAGTTGTTTGCTGCCGGTAAATACAATTTTGGCTAGCACCTGGTGCTAACTGCTATTAGCGGCAGCTTGCTAGCACCAACTAATGTCATTTTAAAGAAGCTAATTGACTGTCTAGTACAAATTAAAGTTATTAACAAACGAAACCAGATTAAACATGTTAAAAGTTATTTTGACCATCTTACCAGTATTCAACAAAGCAGAGGTCTAGTCTGGTCCATTTGATCAACTTCTGGGTTAAAATGGTGGCCTGTGAAGATGATGAGACTCAGCTCTGATAAAACCTCCGGGTCAAACTGTTTGACCCAATATTTAGTTAAATCAGCTCAACCAGTAACCCAGCGGCTTTTACTGTGTATGTAGCTCTGCACATAACATTGGGTCTTTTTGGCTTTACTTTATTCTGGCACGTACAGAACAATTAGTGTTCTGTTCATTTATTTGTTTTTTTTTTTTTTTGTAAATAAACTGATACATTTCATCTGTTTGATGACCCTGAGGACAACAGCAGAAGGGTTTACCATAATCAACATAGATAGGGTGAGATTCAGAGATTCTTTATTGTCATTCACACCACGTGTGGTACATGTGGTGGAACGAAATTATGTTCACAGGGTCCCAGTTAGATCCAACAATAAAATGTAAAAGAAAAACAGTAATAAGAGCTAAGATATAACTAAGAAAACAACATCAGCTAAAAATATGCTCAGCACTATCCATCCATCCATCCATTATCTTTACCCGCTTATTCCATTTTGGGTCACGGGGGTCGCTTGGTGCCCATGTCCAGCAATCAGTGCGAGGGGCGGGGTACACCCTGGACGGGTCGCAAGTCCATCACATTAGTGCTCAGCACTAATGGCACAAAAAAAATACGCCAAAAAGCAGCAAGAACATGAGTCTGTGTGAGCAGATGAATATGAATGAACACTGCAGCATGAAAGAGATCAGCAGCAGCATGAAACAGATCAGCAGCAACATGATGTGATTTTTTCATTATCCTGGTTAGAGATTTATGAGTCTAACAGCCTCAGGGTAGAAGCTGTTCCTCAGTCTAGTGGTTCTTCACTTAATGCTCCTTAACCTCCTTCCTGAGGGGAGCGGGGCAAAAAGTATGTGTGCTGGGTGAGTGGGGTCCTTCATGATGCAGGTGGCCCTCTTCCTGCATCTAGAGATGTAAATGTCTGTGATAGTGGGGAGACTGACTCCAACATCTGTGCAGCCTTCACCACTCTCTGCAAAGCTTTTCTTTCTGCAGCTGTGCAGCCTCCATGCCACACGTTGATGCTGGAGCACAGGATGCTCCTATAGTCCTACAGAAAAACAAAAGCTCCAAATATCATGAGGTTTTATACAGCGAGTTCACCGGTAGTGCAGTAATGAGGAAAAAGTTAATATAGGCCTATATAACATTGCCAGCTCAACACACACACACAACATGAATCACTGCTACAGCAGGGGACGCCCACGATTGTTCACCTACACACAAAATACATGCTGTCGCATAATTCCACATACTGTACATTTGTCTTAATTATATGAAAGGAAGTCTATTTACTTTCATTTCAGGTTGCGGTAAGTTAGAGAAAAATACATTCTGCTAATTAATTCACTGCAGTTACCTTCACAACCGCTCAGACACCTTCATACTTTATATTCGTCTTCGTCAGTAAGCAAGCATCTGTTAACACTTGGTTTTGATGCCGCAGTGTTGTTGGAGTAAATTTAAAAAAATAATTGATCTTGTTCAGAACAGCACGAAATTCTCCATACCTGTGATCTGATTAACTCACAGGTCTGACTGACACATCTATCCATTATCTTTTACCCGCTTCTTCCATTTTGGGTGACGAGAGGTCGCCGGTGCCCATGTCCAGCAATCACTGTGCGAGAGGCGGGGTACACCCTGGACGGGTCGCAAGTCCATCACAGGGCCACATAGAGACAAACAACCATTCACTCTCTCACTCTCACCTAGGGACAATTTTAGAGTTACCAATCAGCCTAACATGCATGTTTTTGGTCTGTGGGAGGAAACCGGAGTACCCGGAGTAAACCCACGCATGCACGGAGAGAACATGCAAACTCCACCCAGAAAGGCCCCTGGACCGGGGTTTGAACCAGGGACCTGCTCGCTGAGCGGCAGCAGCAGTTGCGCCACCGTGCTGCCCATGACTAACACATGTTTGTATATTTAAAAATTGTTTTAATTATATTAACAACAGCCAGGTCTGTAGTTAGTACTGAGGCCTGTTTTCCAGTCTGTGCAGAAATGTGACATACCAACCGATACCATTAAATTTCTAAATCCCTCAACATAACAAGTCCCATTTTAGTTCCTACTTAACAACTTGAATATTTAGTTATCATGTCTGAATCACATTTTAAATAATTTTTACATTTTGTAAAAAATTAAAATCTAAAACAGTGTATTAGACCAGTAAACTCCAGTAAACGCTCCCGTTTCCTGGAATATCTTACAAAAAGATCTGAAGCTCTCGACCTTGACCTCTCTAAGTGGCTTTAAGAATCTGTTGGACTCCTGGCAGGGACCAATGCAGACATGTTCCCGTTTTTAGTTTTCTACATTCACCTTAGAATCTAGCTGTTTTTTGTTACTTTTCTTTTTATAGCCATCCTATTTGTTAAAAAATAAATAAAATCTGTTTGACTTTTTGCAATTGTTTATTGTTGTCGCTGTTGTGCAATGTTGTCATCATTCTTTGTTGAAATCAGGTCTCTCTTGTAAATGAGTCCTCGAGGCTCAGTGGGATTTACCTGTCTAAATAAAGGTTGAATCAGAAAATAGTTTATTCAAACAATTGTGGTAAATGTTTTTCAACTCACTTTATTTCTATAGCACTAATGCACAACAGAAATCATCTCAAGTCCCTGTACAAAAACATTCTCATTCATTATAAAAGCCAATTAGTAAAAGTTACATAAGGAAGCAGCAGATTGTGTTGAATCTTCACTTTGTTGCAGTCGCCCAGCCCGAGCAAGCACAGTGGCAACAGTGGAAAGGAAAAACTCCCTTTTAACAGGAAGAAACCTCCAGCAGAACCAGGCTCAGGACGAGCAACCATCTGCTTCGACCGGTTGGAGTTTAAGAGGACAGGAAGGAGAAACAAATAGAATGACAGGTTCAGGTGTATTTTCTATTGGAAGAAAGACAAACACATGTTAAGGATAGAAATAATTACAAATTCAAACAGGTAGAGCAAATAAAGACAACAGCAGAATGAGAAATGTGGTCAGTGTGATCTCCAGCAGTCTAAGGCTATAGCAGCATAACTAAGGGATATCTCAGGAAACCTAAGCCAACCCTAACTATAGGATTTATCATAAAGGAAAGTCTTAAGCCTAATCTTTAAACTGGACAATGTGTCAGCCTCATGGACAGAAACTGGAAGTTGGTTCCACAAGAGAGGAGCCTGATAACTGAAAGCTCTTCCTCCCATTCTACTTTTGGAAACTCTAGGAACCAGGAATCTCCGTATTTAGCTCCATCCACACCTCTCTTTAAAAAAATTAGAAATTCTTACAATCTATGATGTGAATATGTATCAAACAGGAATCCTGATGTATAAAGTTATATGTGTTCCATTTTCTTTACCTAAATATTTTCATAATTTTCATACTCTACAAGAAGGAGGTATGATTTACATATTCCCTTCTGTAGAGCCACTGTTGCTAAATGTTCATTCATGCATCAGGGTGTTGTGCTGTGGAACTGTTTAAAACGATTAGGTGAATCAAGTACAACATTATCTGTATTTAAAAGAAAGTTTACAACAAACTTTATAGATTTTCTAACACATTAGTTTTTTTGTTTTTTTAATTTATCATTTTAATATTTTTTGACAATTTAAATTTATTTAATACAAACTATTATCTTTTGCTTTGGTATGTAATTGTGTGCGTTTAAAGTAAGATGTAAGGTTATTTATAATGCTTTTATGCTTTTTTTTTTTTTTTACTTTTCTTTTATGTGTGCTGTTTCTTTTTGTGCAAACAAATAAACTAAACTAAACCACAAGTAAACCTGCAGTCTGAGAGTGAAGTGCTCTGTTAAGACAATATAGAACAATAAGATCTGTAAGATAAGATGGAGCTAGGTTACTGAGAGCTTTATATGTTAAAAGTAAGATTTTGAATTCTATTCCGAATTTGACAGGGAGCCAGTGGAGAGAAGCTAAAACTGGAGAAATATGATCTCTCTTACCAACTCCCATTACAACTCTGGCAGCAGCATTTTGGATCTACTGAAGACTTTTTAAAGAAGTTTGTGGACACCCAGATAATTAACAATTGTAATAATCCAGCCTAGATGTGATAAATGCATGAACCAGTGTTTCTGCATCATTTTTGAACAAGACATTTCTAATTTTAACAATATTACGCAGGTGGAGGAAAGGGGTTCTGGTAACTCTTTTAATGTAGCAGTTAAAAAATATATCCTGATCAAAAATAACACAAATATATTTATTTTTTACAATAGAACCGGAGTCCAAATTAATGCCATCTAGAGGAAGTGAAAGGCTGCCAAGTTTATTCCTAAGATTCTCATGTTCAAAAACTAAAACCTCTGTCTTGTTTGACATTAAAAGCAAAAAAAATAAGAGTCATCCAGGTTTTTATGCATTAAAGACATGCTTGTAGTCTAAGTAACTGATTGGATTCATCGGGTTTCATGGATAAATATAAAAAGTATCATCAGCAGAACAACAAAATGTATCCCTTGCTGTTTAATAACTTTACCTAATGGAAGCATATATATAAAGAGTATTGACCTTAGCACTGAACCCTGGGGAACACCATAACTCAATGACTTTGGTGTATGATGAAGATTTATTACAAACTAGAAAATATTAAATAGATATGACTCAAACCATTCTAGAACTGTTTCTGTAATCCTAATATCATATTTAATCCTCTGTAGGAAAATACTGTGATCAACTGTATCAAATGCAGCACTGAGGTGTAACAGGACCAGTATAGACAAGTCCATTGTCTGAGGCCATGAGAACATCATTAGTGACTTTCATCAGCGCTGTTCCTGTGCTATGATGAGCTCTAAACCCGGACTCAAAACTCCTTAAACAATTGTTTCTGTTCAGATGTTCACAAAATTAATTTGCAACTATTTTCTAAATATTTTTAGAAGAATGTTAGATTAGATAAATGTCTATAAGTGGCTAGAATTCCTTTTTTTCCTGCATAGTTTGTTAAACTTAACAGTTGAAACATAGACAAGCTACTGAAAACTTTCTACAGCCACAAAAAAAAAAAAACACACAAGAGGGTGCAGCCAAACTTGAATGAGTCAAAGCAACGTGGACATGACGTACCTGCTGAGCTGCCTGCAGACGAACCACACCTGATATTTGTTTTTTATCCTCATGACTTATTGTAAGATGGGATAATTACGTTTTGAAAGATTTTGAGCATTTCCATTTTGTGTTTCCATTCCCAGGTTTGGCTCGAGTCATAATCATGATTTTTGTTTAAGAGTTGGCAAAGAAATACAAAAAATTCTCAGCAAAGGACGATTGCTTCAGTTATACAAGGGAGCTTGAATAATCAGTTTAATAATATTATCCGGGCTGTGCGCTGTGGTGCATGCAACAGCTAATGGAGTCATTGTTAAACTGCCGCTTTGCCCATTATGAACAACGGCCTACGGTCAACCACACACCGATTATAAAACCACATAAAATCCAACATAACTTCAATGGACAGGCGTAATGAAATTCTCAGCATTATGAGCACGGTTCTGGTAATAAGCAATGGCGGTGCAGCGCAGCGGCAAAGGGTTACAAAGCAACAGAGAAGAAAATTAAAACGATGAAGTTGTCGCATACGATGATTATTTTTTGGATTCGCAGTGTAAGCGTCGGAGATTACTAAATTTAGTTGAGTCAAAGAACAAGCAGCAGCAGCTGACCTGCCCGCTCCGGTATTGGATGGTCAAATTACCTGGCTTTATGGTTATTCTTAGAGTGCTAGTCCAAATGTGTGAACGCATGTGCAGCCAACTCACCAAAGAGGACTTTTGTATTTCTATGGAGATTCAAAAAGAGACATGACTGCAGAGCATTAAGTAAAAATCATTCCCTCAGAGTAAGGTCTCTGAGAGTGAAGGGGAAGGTCAGTAAACAAGCTGATGCAAACCCAAGATGGCACGGGATCAAGAAGCTGTGCGGTCGAGCGAGAACTCATGTCCGGCTTTCATCGAATTGTCAATACTCCCCAAACACTTTAGTATCTCTAAAATGGGACCAAATCAATGACTCACAGGAGAAGAGTAAATAATATATTTTTGTAGAAGCCATTTAATATCAAAGAAATTCAACGTACAGTTTCAGAACGCAAAGTGCTCGAGTGCTGCCACAATACAGAGACGATAAAAACCTTTTTCAAACAGTTTGAGCTGCTTCTGCGTTTGGAAACCAAGAGCTGAGAGGGAGATGCAGTCAACAAAATAAAACCCAGTTCTACCACCCAGTTCAGTTTATAATACACAGTGCGGACTATTACATTTGCAACTGAAAGGAGAGAAGGGAAATTTCCCTGCTTTTACAAATACGCAAGGTTCTTCATCATCGTCTTGCTAAGGATGTAGCTCACCATTTTTCCACGCTGCAGAGTAAATGAAAGGAAAATGACCAAACCTTTCTGTTCAATATGTGTAACTGCAGCCTACACTTACAAGCAAAGCTGCTTCAGCATCTTTAAAGCAATCATTTGGCCTTCGTGATTATTTATACGCCCAGCTTGTTACTAATTTTGATTCTGTTCTGCAGACTTCCAATATCCCCGCTATTTTATCTACCTCCCTTTTGACACGTGTGTATATCTCTCATTCTTTGGTCGCCCGCTCCATCTTTCTCATCTGTTGCTCCAACCTCCTCCTCCCCTCATTCTCATCAATCCACCCGCCTGTGCCGTCACACCAGGGGCTGGTTGTCGGTGCAGGTGGAGGGAAGAGATTCCACACTTGATTTGTAAATGGGCTTTTTCTGCGAGCGGTCATCACTGGAGAGACGAAGAAAGGAAAGAGACATAGAAACATGATTATCAGTTTATCGATCCTGCAGTAGGCACTCCAAAAAAAAATAATAATAAGTGAGGAAATTATAGTCTGGAACTGAGCACTGGATGCACATCTGGCTGGAGATATGAAAGTCAATTATCCTCTCCTTTTACTTTCAGCATTTCTTTGCGCTTACACATGGAAGCACCAGTTAATCAGTAGATTCAACCTATATTTTCACACCACCACAATTCCACATCATTTTTTCTATTCTTAACTAAGACCTTGAGAAAATGTTCAGTCAGTTAATATGAAATTAACTTAATGAGTAGCTGCACGGGGTCATGGTGTGCTTCATTACATTGTTAACTCACAGAATAGATAAGAGCTCCATTAACTTTCTTACTAGTGCTGTTACTTTTTATAAATACGTACAATAATAATTTCACTTGCTGGTAAAAAAAATAAACAAATAAAAGTCTATGCTTTTCATAAACAGGAAATGGGAGCAGGAGTATTAAAAAAAAGGTCAAGGATGAGGTCACGCGAGTCTGATCTGCAGAGATGGGTTTTAATATTCAGACTGAAGAACGTTGTTTTTTTTTTTCAGGCACAGCTTGTACACATGAATGGCTTTTAAACAAAAAGTTTGCACTCTCTAAGTGAAATAGCCTTGGTTCTGTCACACAAAGAATAAAATATTGTAGTAAGGGCTGGATCTGTCCTATAAAGTCAAAACTGCTGGAGGAGATCGAGGGAGTGAGTTGAGGAAAATAGGAAGGTGAACGTGGATAAACAAACACACACTCTCACCTGCTTTCAAAGACCTGCTATCCATCAGCTTTTTTTGAAGCTGATTTAAGATGCTATAAACCAAAGTGATTTTAAAGTGGCGAGTCTGTACGAGTGCTTATAAAGAGGCAGGGAAGACTTTTAGTAAGAAGACAGCAGCTGGACGAATCACCTTCATCTCGGGCTCTTATATGATTAGAATCTAGCTCTTCCTCAAACAAGCTGAACTGAGCCGAATAATGAGGGAGTTCAATGGATCTCCTGTTCTTAAAGAAACAAGCACAGGTTAGAAAAATGAACGGGCGCAAACACTTCTTACATGGGCCCCTTGCTTGTCCTGATCCGCTTGGCCCTGCGGCACAGGAACGCAGTCAAAGACAGGATGAACACGAGGAGAGACACCGCCGCGGCCGAGGTCGTCAACCAGAGGTGTCCGACCGTAGTCTTAAACCAGGCGACGTCCTCTGTGGGACAGACATGAAAGGAAACTCGTCTTACACAGAATACTAAATCAGCACAGCAAAATGCCTTTAGGCAACGTGCCTATGAGCAACCTCAGGCTTGTTTGTACAAGAAAAAGTTTGGCATGTTCTCAATGCAACACTGACCTGCAAGAAGTCTGTGTGTCTGAATTTAAACCAAGAAGGTAATCATCCCTTTAATGTGCGTGGATTTCTCATTTATACATACCGGTAATGTTGAAAACCAGGATTTTTGTCAAGCTGGTATTTGAAACTGTGGTCAAAGCAAATGCTAAAACATAAAAGTCAAGAGTATTTAAAAACGCTTCGTCCCTTCCTACACGTGTTAAGAGGATTTCTGGGGCTCTGGAGCATAAAGGTTGACACAAGAAATGTTTGCTTAAGGTTAGTGCAGTGAATGTAGTGCAACTTCAAAGGGACAGCAGAGGTTTTCTTATTATAACATCAAGGAAGAACAAATATTATTCCAATATCTAGACATATTATTAATAATTTCTTCATACCACAGAAGACGCTGGAGACACTGAGGAGCATACTGACCAATAAGTCACTGCTGCAGTAATGGAAAACCCAAATCATAATGCACCACTATATCCTGGGGGGGTTACATAATTTCAACTGTTGAAGTCACAGAGCATGTGAATTGAACTGGAAGAGCGTTGTTTATAATCAGCCGTAAATCAGCAGATTCCTCTCAAGCCAGTAATAAAGATGATGCAAACAGATGAAGTGCTGTAACTGGGTTAGGTACTGCTGAAGTGAAAATGTTCGTCTAGCTTAAAAGCAATGGTTCAAATCTTGTGAGGTGGGGGTCTATGGAAAGTTTATGAACAATAGGCATCTCATCTGTTGTAGATAGATTTATGACCAGCCTCAGCTTGGAGAACTGGGTTTAAATTCTGACTGGATTGACAAGCTAATGGTTAGTCCAAGTGGAGGCAAAACCAAAGTGGACTGCGACCGTCCTAAAACAACTCAAATAATTGTATTGTGGTTTATGCAAACACCATTTAATACACTTTTTTTGTGGAATGCTGCAGAATACAAATGCAAATACCAGTAGCAGTAGCTAGCTATAGCACTGGTGCAGTATGGGACGCTTCTGGCAGGAATACTCCAAAACCAATAGATTTATAAAAACTGCATTTACATAAACTGCTATGAAGAATGCTGTAGGAGTTTTAAGATGGCAACAACCCAATTTAATCGATCGTCAGTTAGTGGGGACTTCGGGACAACTTTTGGGGACTTTTGGAAACTACTGCGGACATTTTCCATGGGTTCTTTGCTTACTTGGGCACCGTAAGAGGAAAACACAGAGAGGGAAGTGAGCTGGTGTCTTGTGCAGACCCGCTAGACATGCAGCAAACCCCCTCTCCCCTCGGTCCTGCTTTCAGGTGTTCAGTCTTTGAGGAATAGACTGGATGACCTGTGCACATGGATTTATTGCGAGCGGGACAGGAGGAGCGGTTTTGTCTTTGCCTTTACGGAATCCTGGCTGGAGCCGTCCATCCCCACTGTGGCTCCGGACGACTTCTTCGTCTACCGCCTCGACAGAACCGAGTCACATCTGTGACACTTTATATGTTTATTGCTGCTGCACTATGTGGCTGTATCATGCGTGTTGCTGCCTCGCCCTCGTGGTTCAGTTCCTCTCAATTACAGTTGCATTTGGGCCCAAAAAATCCGATCCGACCCAGCCCATAGCCATCACTTCCAAACCCCACCTGACCCGACAAATTAACAGTAATTATAGGTCCGAACTCGAAAAAAAACAAAAAAACATTTCATTTAAGCTTTGATTGCTTAAATAGTTAATAACAGTCGGCTGATGCGCAGATTAATACAAGGAGCAGAAGATCGGAGCTGAGGGGGTGTTTGTCCTTTCATGACCGACGAAGCGCATTAAAAACCTGTTTCTGCCTGAATTCTGCATTATTCAGATACGAACCGCTCTGACACGTCTGTTTTGGGATCTCACCTGTTTGGGTCGTTGGCCGCGTGCGTCTGCTGAGTGCAGCGGCTGAATGAACGTCCATTTGGGCGATGGATCGCTTCCTGGCTGTATAGTCCCATCTGAAGTGTAACTGAAACTTTATTTTACTTCTTTCAAGACCGGTCAGCTTGCGGTGAAATGGCTGCGTGCAGCTGGTGATTATGGCAAGCCATGTTGCCATATAACTGGATCGCAACTGATCCACTGACGCAATTAAAAGCCTAACACCAACCCGGCCCGCCCCAAATTCGGGTCTGGTAGGGTCGGGCTTCAGGCCCGGGTTAGAAATGATAGCTCTAATCTCATTGTTGCTCACTGCCTGTACAGTGTCCTTTCACACAACCTACGGGGTGTGTGTTGTGTGCAATGTGTATCATGTGCATTTAAGCAGCGTTACTTCCTGTGAGAAACTTGTTTGTACTGATTCATCCTACTTGCACAGTTGTATTCTACCATGTTGTTTACTATATTTCTTTAGGATCTTGTAGATGTTGTATTTCTTGTTCACTTTTTGGTGCTTTGTTCATTACTTTGTTGCATGCATTGGTATTTCTTGTTTTTTGTTTGTTTGTTTTGTCAAATTGACACGGTTCTTCTCATTTTGAGCATTTCATTGCATTGTTGACCTTGTGTTGACCTGCATATGACAAATAAACAATAAACTAAACTAATCTTTACCTGGTTTGGATTAATTATGCAAAGAACTATCTTCAGCAGGTAAGATATTAATTGCTCATATCCTTTTCACAGTACCCCACTTCAAATGATTTGAACTATCCCTTTAAAACAACTACAGTTTCAGACAAAGACAAATAATCACTTCGTAGTCATCCCTATAAAAAAACAGCACACACACTGACGCTTCCATTTTATCGTGTCCTGTTGGGCTATACGATGATGTAATGTGTGTCCTTGTAAACTCAAGTGTTTTTAGATCTGTACGGGCTGGGGAGAAATAAAAAGAAAAAGAAATGTCTGAAGCAGAAGCACTAATGTTTGTCTTGATGACTCTGTCAAAAGGAAAACATCAAAGGTCAAGTACAACCATCGCTTGCTTTAAATCCAATTAATTTTTTATCTTATCCTTTCAAGTCGCTGCAGTTCTGCCATTTATTGTGATATTTAATGTGTATTCTGTTCTTTGGTGCGATCGCCTTACATGTTTGACATTTTAAATCCTATTTCATTCCTCACCTTTTCTGTTGGGCGTGTTTGAATAAATGTCCTTCCTTCTCTTTCCTGAAGCATCCCTTCCTTTTTATACTTTGATATCAGCTCTTAACTTCCCTCTACGTTGCATACATTTAGGGTATTAAAGGTTGCACACCTGAAACTGATAACTTACCTCATGATGTAAAAGCATTTGGCATACCTGACCTTTATTGTGACATTTGAGTGGCTGATAGAAGAGCAAATAGATTAGAGGTTTTTGTTGTTGTTCAAGTGAATTCCCTCACAGTTCTAAAGAAAGCTCCAACAATTTTTCAGAAAGGGGAAGTGGTGTGCAGCCTCTCCACACTCCCTACAAAAGGACAATGAGCCTTAACAAGGTGAAGGCTTGTCTTACCGGGCAGGAGGCTGATACTGATGGTGCGCTTCTTGTTGAGGGACTTCACCGAAGGATGCTCAACCATGCAAGTGTACTGTCCTTCATCCTGCATGCTCACCTTCTTCACTGTCAGAGTGGAGGAAGGCAAGATCCAGTCATCACCCTGTGCGGAACGGACAAGAGTGGGAAAATTGTAGCTTTTATTTTAGTCGGGTTGTCCACAGCCCGCCATGAATATAAATTAAATGTGATGGAGAACATGTGAGAGTGGTTAACAAAGGGACATCAGGCACAAACTGTGCTGCAAAAGACGAGACGAACAAGCATTGAGGAAGCAGAAAGTATATATTTTTGGTGTTCTGTGGAGGGGAAGACAATGGGGAATAGAGAATAAGAACAAGATAGCGAGAAAAAAAGACTGGTGGGTGGACAAAGAAACAAAAACATATCTGCTGGTGTGTGGGCTCTCGTGAGAGCGGTCCCACAAGCCTTAAATGAAGTCTATTTACCTGCGCGGTAATCCCAATGAATGAGCATGCATCGACACAAGTCAATAACCCAGATAACAGCATCATCCGCAAAGAATGATGCCGCAGCAGCACACCGTTAACACACGCCGTAATGAGATGGCAGGGGAGCCGGATGAATTGTTTACACAGAAATAGCAATACTAATATGAGATAGAGCCCGACATGGGAGGAAATAAATAATAGGCCAAGCACAAGGATTGGAAAACAAATGAATGTGGAGGAGGACACACACAAAAAAGAAAGAAAAACAACAAAGACAAATAAAAAAACATTACACCATGCAAATGATTTGGCTCTTGGGAGTTGTAGTTCCTGCCAAGAAAGTCCATTTCAGTTTGAATGGATCTGAATTAAGAGGATTTCCCATGAAGGCCAGGTCTGGACAAAGCAGCATTTTGTATGCAAATCCACTGGCTCGAAAAGCAGTATGCAGTTTCTGCCTCTGTCCTGCTGTCATTTGTCTGGGCCAAAGCACTCACGGCGGCTGTCAGTCAAAACGGGCCACTTTCTGCCTCGCATCCACTCTTCTCTAACACACGTAGAGAAATCCACTCTTATCAACCAGAAAATTAACATTTTAGTACTATATTATCAATTCATTGTAATTTCAATAAATAAAATGCTATTAACACAGATTGTTGTTAGTTTTTGCTTTAAGGGACAGCACTAACCAGACTAGAGCTAATGACAAAAGCTCTCCATGCGATCGTGTGGAGGACAAACAGTGTTAGTGCCCATGACAAGCCCACTGAATTGGATTTATACTTGTAAGCCCGTTTAAAACCCAGGATTAGCGGTGACCCTTTAACAAGCATATTAATCCCGAGCCAACTCATCAAGAGAAAAACAGGAAACGAAAAAGAGGAACTAAAGCCCTAGCATTCCTTGAAGAAATGCACACTCTCCCGCATGACTTTCATTCTAGAGGTTACAGATGTTTTGGTCAAACCTCGTAACTGATCGTCATTTGTGATCTCATGTAATTTTGTGAAATTTTGCAAGACGTGTCAAAGTTCAGGTGTTTTATGGGGGTGACTATCAGCTACCTAAACAAAAACTCAGTGTCTGTATGATTGACTGACTTTGTTAAATGTAGCTAGGGTTTTTCATAATTTTCTTCCATTTTTTTATCAATTTATATGCCTTCTTCTAAGATTTACTGTCGGCATCATTCTTTGTTACAAACAGGTCTCTTGTAAATGAGTCCTCGAGGCTCAATGAGATTAACCTGTCTAAATAAAGGTTGAATTCAATTGTTGGCTGATGTCATTTAGTAGTGACAATCATTTTGAATTGAGCTGACTCCAAATGTTAATCAATTATAGATGTCCACCAAATGATAGTTTTCTGAAAGTTTCATTAAAATCAATTCTGTGTTTCATAAGATATTTGGCAAATAGACAGTTGTTATAGTTAAGTTGACGCCAACTGTATGTGGCTAAGTTTTAAGTACAGATCTCGTTTGATTAGTTATTGCTTTCAGTATGTGATGGGAACGGCTCTCAGCTACTGATCTCTTAAATTTGAGCTCAGTAGTTGTAAAACTGGCTGAGTAGTGGCAATTGTATTCTTTGCTGTTTACCAGATTTTCTGGCGTACAAGTCGCATCAGTCAAAAAAAGCGTCATGAAGAGGAAAAAAAACATGCAAATCGTTTTGATGTATAAGTCACATTTGTTATGCGTCACTGCTGACCCGTCGCATTTATTTTTATGCGTTTATTAAATGGTCAAAACAGCTTCATTTCGCCTGAGCAGCGCGGCACCATCCATCCATTCATCCATCGCCGCCGTAGCCGCTAGCTCTCCAGCGTTCCTCCGCCTGCGCCAGCTGCACGAAGCGAGCGTGCACGGGAGGACTTGTTGTTTCTAAGAAATTCAACAAGATTAACACTTAAAAACAACTATGTTTGCTCGACATTATAGCAAAGGTGTGTCTCAGTTTCACTTTTCCTTAATAAATGCAGTCTAATGGTCAAAACAGCTTCATTTCACCTGGACTGGGCGACATCATCCATCCATCCATCCATCCATCATGGATGGAGCCGCTAGCTCTCCAGCATTCCTCCACCTGCACCAGCTGAGTGAAGCGAGCGCACACGAAAAACTTGTTGTTGCAGTTCTTAAAAATTTAAATCATCAGTCAAAAATTGTTATGAATATGAAAAAAAAAGTATATAAGTCGCTTTGGCGTGTACGTCACAGGACTGACAAAAATCTATGCAAAGAAACAGCGACTTATACGCTGGAAAAGACTGTATTTAGCTGTGGCAGCCATCTTAATTGGGATTGACTAAACAGTAATGAGTTGTAGATGTTTATCCAGTGATTACTTTGTGAGAGTTTCATTAAAATTTGTCAGCTGTTTCATGGCATATTTTGCTAACAGTACATCCAAATGAACACATATAGACACAGCCAATAACGTTGTCACTCCATTTTTAGCAGTGAGCGATGACTAAGCAACGACATGTGCCTTCCTGAAAATGTCTTCCTGGTTACATGCGTTCAGTGGTGGGGATTTTGACAGTACCATGAAAGTACACAGTCTCATCACCTGACTAATCAAGTTCTTCTTGTTCTACATGCTAGCTGACACTCTGGCATTTTGTACAGACACATCTTAATTTCCCTTCAGAAACGCTGTCTTAGTTCAGTGAAAAGGGCCTAGTTGAATAATTCAATGCCAGTTAACCAAACACTAAAAAAAATAATTAGAAATCTATTCACATAATTGTTTTCAGGTTGACTGGTTCTTGTCTAGACCTCATTAAACTATTAATCCTCTGTAAGTGAGCAAGCTGCAATTCCCATAGAGAGGTGAGGCTGAGCCAACCAGTCACTTTAAAACAGAGCTCTCCCTTTCGTGGAGGGGATAGAGAGATGACAGGAAAGGGGAATAAAAGAGATTGGGAAAAGTCAAGGAGAAAGACACAGGGAGGTGTTAGAAGACGTGACAATTAGGAGAATGCCTGAACAAAGACAAGAGGCCAATGGAGACCTGGTGAGGCTGGAAGGAGATGGTAAAAAAAATAAAGAGGTCACGTGGAGGGATGGGATTAACAAAGAGAATGAAGAGTATCCAGAAGCCTAATGAGGATGCCTCCACTGTTCACAGACCCGAGGCGGTCTCACCTCTTTGGTCCAGTAGTAGTTCGGCTCCTCTGAGGAGCCGGCGGAGCACTTCACCACTACGTCATCTCCAGGTCGCACCTTCAGCTGCTCCGGGGCGCTCAGGTACCTGCTGTAGCCTTCCATATACAGCAACGGCTCTCTCAAATCTGAAAAGGCGTGCACAATGAGAAAGCACGATCAGGCATTAACGAGGCAGGTAATTGGATGCACGCTGAGGTAACCTCGTGGAGCATTTGGGGACGTGACTAAGCATCTGTTTTCAGCTGTAACATCTGGTAAACAGTGAGAACTTTGAAGAAGGCTTGAATCAGAGGCTTAACAATGAACGCCTGTGATTGGTGCAGACTGTAACAAGCAATCAATAGTAATGATGATAAGCTTCATCTTATCGAAGTCTTTAGAGAGGCAATGCTGTGAATAATGGCTCATTTTCTCTACCATCTCAATAGATGGCCCCCGTCCATGCGGCTCTCTGTCTCCTTCCGTCCTACAGCTCATTCTAATCTTTTCCTCTTATTGATTCCTCCCATGAGGCTGTGGAGCCTATCAAACAGCGTCAGGGTCGATATGATGGCCACCAAGAAGACAGAGGACACTGAAAATCTGACCAGCAGCTATACGACAGATAACTCATGCAGCTATCGCACGGCGGTATTGTAGTTTCAAACCGCAAGCCTTTTCAGCGGAGCGTGTCTTTGTTTGCATGGAGAGCAGAATAAAATATGAGTCATCTCTTCTTAGGTAACAGTATTTGCATTGAGTCTTTATTATTTCTTGTTGTTTTATTGTGTGTACTCTCCACAGCAGCCTTCAAAAGCTGTGTTTAGTTTTGTTAATTATTAATGTGTTTTTCTATCCCACACTGTGAAGAAAGCTGTGTCTACAGAGCCTGTGTGATGGTTCAAACCTCCTGCTGGTTGAAAATATGAGAAAATAAGTTTCACTTTTTTTCTGCTTGGTCTTCTAGACAATTCTATTTGCTCAGATAAGAGAGCACATGAGAACCAGAGCTCTGTTTGCCACATTTCCTCATAATAGCAAAATTCAGAGGTACGGTTGCACGTTTGTGTTATAGATTTATTTAGTTTACTCTTTAACATCTAAGGTTTAATCATTTCTCTAAACTAAACACAGAGACTTGTTTGTGTTCTGAGAGCGTTCACGTCGAAACAGAAACTCACACTGGACTTTAAAGGTCAGCGGCTGAGAGACGTTGTCTGGCGCCGTCACGTTCTCATTGTCCGACACGCAGCGGAAGGCCACTCCAGAGTACATCATCGGATAGGGAATATCCAGAAGTCTAGTGCTGTTCTGCTCCTCCTCCATGCTGTCTGACCATCGTCCATAGAAGCAATAATAATAACGCCTCAATGATGACCCCCAAATTCTGCGCCAATATTCTGAGCCCTAGTTTAGAAAAAGAGAAAAAGAATGAAAGAATGGACTACAAATTGAAGTACAGGAGTCCCTCGCTACTTCGCAGTTCGTTTTTCGTGGACTCGCTCTGTCGCAGTTTTTTCAAAATAAGATTGGACATGACACACAACTGGCTGATTGATGGATGAGCCACACGATCGACATGGAACTTTTATTTAAAATAAATTATTTTAAATTATTTAGCGGCTCCTGCACATCTGTGCAGCCCATACTGCAGGATAAGCGTCCTGCTGCAGCTGATCAGCTGATCTCCTGCAGAGCGGAGAAGTGGGCGTGGCCAAGAACACTTGCAGGTGGCTGAGAGCAGTGGAGGCAGAGAGAAGGAAATCATGACATTCTGTGGGTTTTTTTTTTTGTGTGTTTAGAAACATTGTTTAGAATATTTCAATAGTGTTGGAAAGGTTTAAAATGCCT